CTTTTTTAAGTAACTTAAAGTAGTGTAGTTCTGATTCTATCAATGTGTAATTTAATAAATCAATCCTTATTCAAATATTTGTCATGTTTCCTAGATATATGATTTAACTGAGGCTTTCATTATCGTTTGAAGAAACTAGAATGTTTTGTGGTTAACTATTTATAGATAGAAGAATTTTGTTTTTAATGTATAATTAGACATATTGACTTTGCTAGCTGCTACGTCAAGTCTTAGTTACAGCTTGCTAGTCCTTGATCTATCTGCTCTCTAGTCTGCGTTTATTATACAGATAAAGAATCTCCCTGGTCTAATTTACGGTCTTGACGAGATGGATACTTAGTACAGCCCTAAGACTTGTAAAATATGAGTTCCTTGTGCCTGGACGGCCTTGAGGGTATATATATATATATATATATATATATATATTCACGTGTTTAACTATCAGGTCACTAGAAAATTCATTTTCAGCTACTTTTGCATAATAATAATTCACAATTTTTATATCTAATTAACATTATTAGATAAACGTATGCATAAATCGATGGCTTCACAGAAGTTCTGAAAGTTGTAGGATTCTTTTTTTGCCTAGACGTAAATGTTGGTGTTATACCGGAGTAGCGAACAGTAATGACAAACTATCCATTTTCGCATCAGCTCACTAGATATTCCCTTCAAATAAATGTTTGGGGACACTGTTATAAACGACATCACTATTTCGTGGACGGTTTGTGTATCTAACTGATGAGCCATTTATACAGTTACAAGCAGCCATGAAACTATATAATAAGTTCAAGTGTATATGTATGGTGGATTGTGAAATTATCCGGAATTCCTTATTTAAGCTAGTTTATTATATAAATGTTTTGGAAAATCTTAGTTTTTGTAGGGATTTAAGAAGTGATTGATGATGTTCTGAAAAAAAGGTAACTACCTCGAAATTTGGTAAGAAACACTTTTCTGGTAGTTTATAAGATATAAGTTGGCTCTTTTTGAAGAACTAAGTTACAATGACTATTCACCAAATAATAGTGTTATACTATATATTCAAATAGGTCATAAAGAAAGGGAATAAAACACATTTATTTCAAATATTGTACCCAATTCCAAATATTTTCAAAGATATAATCTCTTTCATTGAATTTTCGTCAGTAAATTAAGAATCTTTTCTGTGAATTGTGTGAAAACTTATCAATACTCAATCCTTTTTAAGTTTGATATAAGCTGTACATAATTAGTTTACTATCAAGTTACAAGTTTATCGAATATTATTTCTTGATTTAATTTGAAGAATGAGAACATACTTTATGTAATAGTTTATGAGAGGTGCTTTAAAAAATACATGGTTAAATTTATACTATGTACTTGTGAGGACGGCCCACGAGTGAATTCAAGGAAGCTCTAAGAAGCTCGGAAACGGCCGAAGATATTCAATCCATTCATCTTTTGGAAGAATATTACAGAATCTTTACATGTAACTTCTCTACTGAACAAATACTAAAACTCCCTGTATGCGTATTGGATGACTATAATGATGATTTTGTTTTAACTAAAAAAACTATGTTGACCTGAGAGTTTTTGTATCATATTTGACACTGTTTGGAATAGCATTCCTTTCACTTGTCCTCTGTCTTCTCATTTGCGACTTGGAGGGTTCTAGCGTTCGAGTGCTCTATTTTTACGCGGTATATTAAGAATCTAACCTCTAGATATAACAGTACTGTGATTATATATATATATATATATATTTACAATCATCATAATAAGAAATTATCAGGATTTGTTGGTTAGAAAAAAGACCAGTTTGTTACAGAAAACAATAATAACATATAAATATAGACCAGTTGTTCCAACTCAGTGGGTTTAACTTCTGGTGGGTTAGTAGTAGCACACTTTATAAGGGTGCTGTAATAAAATGAAACGAATGACCATTATTTATTTTTATACCTCTGTTGGCCACTACCTAAAATATAACGAATAAAGCTTAAATGATTTATAGTATTTTTAATTTTTAGAAATCAAAGTCTTAATACACGGGTAGTTAGAGGAAAGGTTTTGCTAGAATAATTATAACCAATAAGAACGAAATTATCTGCTCATAACTGTGTACCAACATTTTTACTATTATCTCTTTAAATGAGAAAATCAAACATCGTGAAACATTTTAGCTATAAAGTAATCCAGTTGAGAAATCCAAAATTTCCCTCTTCAAAATTTCTAGAGGCCAAAGAAGCATCAGGAAATGTTTTATCTAATTGATGTTGCATAGAAGCTTCAAAAAAACATCTGGGAAATGGGGGATCAAGTGCTATGTTTTCGAATAAATACTCACCTATACGATTAGCATGTTTTCACGAAGTTCCAAGAGTCCAAGGTCACAACTAACATCAGAAATCGACCTTGGAGTAAATCTCTAACTTACATTTTACGCCATTTCTCCATTGTTCCAATTAACTTGCAAAAGCAGTTTTGGGGCAAGATAGTAATAAGACAGTCAGTAATAAACGTTTGAAATACTTATTTGAAATAGTTTCTAAAGGCATATATTCTTTGAGAACTGCAAGTAATTTAGAATTGGATTGGTTGTCAAGGCTAAATGTAAATTTCTTGTCCAATAGATCCTTTAATCACATAAAATATCACCTTAGATTGTACCAAGTAATTTGAATAGCCTTGTGGAATATAAAGAGAACTGAATGGACGAGTTCCACTGGATTTCATGAGGAAGACATGTCTATCAGAATAAAAATTTACAAGGACAGTTGGCAGTCGTTAACTGAATGTACTTACAACTTCAAAATAATGAGCTATAATGGTTTAGCCGAAAACAATTTAAGGATACATTGATTCTGACTGACTTATTATGTTAGTTCTGCAGTGTAAATTATGAACGTATTTGTTTGAACGAAACTTAATCACCGTAAGTTAAATAATTACAACAAAAGCATTGATTTGAATACACTACATGGTTTTAAACCGGTGTTGTAAACTTCCTTATTTATCAACATTAGAAAGCAGTTATTCTACTGGACATTTTTAGTAAAGTGCATTTTGTTTTGTTTTCTATTACATAAAACTATATACACATTGAATACATATATTCTTTGTATGATACAAGTGTTTGTTATAATTAACTTTGTTTATGTTTCAACTCCCAAAATACCATAAAAATTAGGTTTTTAAAAATATATTTGTGGTTTAAGTCGTAACATTAAAGTTAAGGTAAGCTAACTGTTGAACTCCCGTTGTCTCAAATTATCACTAGAACTAGTAATTAATTATATTGATTTTTCAAATAATTTAAGTGGAAACTTCTATATTCTTCTTAGTATCATTTTGTACATTCATGTGTCAAAGAAGTGATGTTGAATCTATATTAAGAAGAAATATACAATCAAAAAATATATTGATCTTTCAATCCGAGAATAAAAATAATGAAAACACGCAAAACTGTCAAAAATATGATAAAAATTTCAATAATATAACTGATGATTAAGTAAGTTGATGAGAATGTTTGTTATCTAAAAATTGTAACAAAGTTGATCTTTTTATTTATCACACTAAAAGATATTTTGATAATCGAGCATTGAATGTAGGCTTTTTAGTTTGTTTCAGTAGTTTAACATGCCATCAGAGAAGACTTTCTGGATACTTCTCAAACACTCAGTTGGAACGCAGTCGCTCGTATATCGAACTTTAGTAAGTTGCTAGTATATATACTATATACTGATCAATTTCATCCATGGTGTCTTGTTCATTCCTAACATGTCCAATTTCTGTTTAGCAACAATACTCCGTGCGCTTGTTATTTCTGGGATAACGCTGCTTTTGTTTTTTAATAAATTTGAACTAATATTTTAAACCTTCCCATATGCATATGATTAACTTGCTCATTAATAACTTATCATCATTTCCCCTATTTCATATCGACTTAAAACTTCGTTTTAGTAAAAATGTTACTCTCTAAATGCAGCAAAACGTATAGCATTTAGAAATGGATGAGGAGATGTCAATCTCAGAACAACGATCAAAGTTTATCTACCATTCATATATTACAACAGGTTGTTGTAATAATTCTAACTTACACTTTGATTATACAGGGATACAGGTTTAATATTGACCAAGTCACGCTAAAATATGTCATAACCGATTTATTTTTCAAATCTCGAATTTTAGTGCGCAATGCAAAGCGAAGTCTACGCAAGATACTCAACATCCATTGGCCGGATACCATCAGCAATAGCCCTCTGTGGGAGAGAACAAACCAACTTCCAGCTGAAGAAGAAATTAGGAAAAGACGATGGAAATGGATAGGACATACATTACGCAAATCATCAAACTGCATCACGAGGCAAGCCCTAACTTGGAATCCTGAAGGGAAGCGAAAAATAGGAAGGCCAAAGAACACATTGCGTCGGATAATAGAAGCAGATATGAAAAGGATGAATTACAACTGGACGGAGCTAGAAAGGATTGCCCAGGACAGGGTTGGATGGAGAATGCTGGTGAGCGGCCTATGCTCCTTCACGAGGAGTAACAGGCGTAAGTAAGTAAGTAAGTAATGCAAAGCGAATTGCTCCCATAGTTACATATTAGACTTTTCATTATTTAATACAATCTAGTGTGAGTAATTTATCATCAAAATATTATTTGCTATATCAGTAAATGAATTATTCTTTGAAATGGATAAACATTCGATAGAGAACTACATGCACATGTATTTTATTTTTTATTCAGTTAAGAAGTTTTCTTCGAATATCGTGTCAAGAAACTAGTGTAAGACTTTTGAAATCATTTTGAGTGTAATTATTTCATTTTGCTAGTGTAAAGTTTTTTACACCTGATGTTAGCATTATGGGTTGTTGTAACTACAAACTAATCACAGAGTAATTGGACTATTTTTAACGAATATTATTGTCAACCAATCAAATAATTTCAGTGAGTTTCTACCAATCAAATTCCTGTGAATAGATCACTGTCATAATCCCATGAAGAGAAGAAATCTTTTTACATCATCTTGCAACTACAACTATTTTAACATCTAAGCAATTCATTGTTTAAATAATGAATAATAAAAATGATTAAAAACTGACTTTTGTCTCTTAATTGAAATCTACATGCGCATCTTAAATGTTTTCAGTTAATAAATGTATGGTAAATGATATTTAAAAATCGGAAAAATATATTTTATGTGGAAATAGGGATTATTTTATTGTCTGGAATAGGTGGTCTTTTAGCTTTAATTAGTGTATGCTTCAGAGGCTCATGGATCTCTCAAGAATATTTTGATAAAATACATATGCATAGGAGTCGAGATCATTTAAGTAAGTTAACTTTAAAATTTAACAGATTTGAGTTCAATAGTTTGATTTGCATTTAATATCGACTGATGTATTGTGTATTTAATAATGAGTTTGTAGGTATCATTACCAAGGTTTGAGTTGATAATTTTGAATAAATTGAGCATTGGGTAGATTGTTATAAATAAATAATATATTTGTAATATTCCATTGAGTTCAAAATTAGATTTTCTGACGTTTCGTGACTTGGTGTAAGCCACTTCTTCAGAGAATAATTAATACTTTATTTCGAATACATTTACGTACTCGATAATTCATTCCTTGATGTCTTAATTAAAATTTGGAAATATCTATTGTAAATTTTATTTTTACTTACATGAGTAAACAAATATCACCAAAAGTTTGCGAATTGCATTGTACTAACTACTCAACAGATAAGGAAGATTAAGTACGAAAATACACAGTCAGATGTCTAATATACTTAACCTGTTTGAAATATACATCAAAAATATGTTTAGTTACTATTTATTAACATTAAACAAATTGAACCTTTCCATTTTCATCAACTGATCTCCGCCAATCATAATTTTCTGTTTAATTTTTATAAAACGCTAACTATAATTCAACATGAATAACTTGGTAGCTGAATTCATGAGTCAACTGAAGCTAGACTACCATGGAAAACATGGAAGGACTGGACGGCCGTTTTGTCCTAGTGTGGGACTCCTCAGTAGTGCGCACCCACGATCCCACCTCGCAAGATTCAAAACCAGTACCTATCAGTCTCGCGCGAACGCTCAACCATTAGACCACTGGGTTGACCGGCATCCAACGGAGTTAATGTTTAACTTTAACATGAATAACAAATTATTCATTAAAATGTAAATATTGTGACAAAATAAAAGAATAATCTTTCAGTTCACACCGTCTAACGATATAAAAAACTAATCTTGAAATTATAGGGAGTCCCTTGATTGCCAGGTTTATCTGTTGATGTTTTTTGCCTAAGAATCTTGAATACTGTTATCAAAGTATCAGACAGTTATTATTTTTCATTTGTCATTTGCTTGAAAATTGCGTCGTTTATAGATTTGGTTAAATATTCGTTACCATTATTCTTTTATATTGTTATTCTAAACGTTTACTTTCATACTTTGAACATTTACTTATTAAGAGATGTTTTTCTTTTAAAATCAAAGATTTGTCCCAGTATTTGTTTTTTGAGAAAATATAATTGGTAGTTATTATGATAATTTAACTTTTCAAATAACATATACGTTTTGCATTCATTCTCTTCTAATATCTACTTTTAAGAAGCCACATGATAAAAGATGAGATATTTTGTAGTAAACTGACTACAATTAGTAAGTTATTGTCCTTACCACTTGATAAAAACGTGAATAACGTTTGATCACACATAATTTTGAACAGAAACAATAAGTTAGTTGTTCAGTTTATTTTGGTAACTATTCGAAGGTACGGATGTTTACTGAAGATTATTCCCATGGAAAGTAGGCTTCGATCAAAGAACTACTGAAAGCCAAAAAATAGTGAACAACTATTTCAAAGTTTATTCCGTAAGAAAATTAATAGAGAGGTCTCAGACTATAAGTGGTCATTATTCTTTGTGCTAATTTCTGAGTTTATTTCTCAATATATTGTTCATCATTTAATGTACAAAATAATTCTTCAAAAACTTAACACAACTTCAATCAACTTTCTCATTAATTAACTATCTGAACTAAAAGAAACTATTAATATTCATTGATGAACAAATTTATAAGAATCAACAGTGGTGAATACACGTATATCATTAAGAATAGCGATAATAGTAGCTCTTATAATAACATAAATGTTTTAAGAAATTCACGGCACCAGTTGCATAGTCTTTTATAACGTCCACAGTTCACATGCTCCATATCGTAATTATTGAAAAAAATATATTTTACAAATGTTTTTAACGGCCACTCATTTACGATGACGAAAGTTTTATTTTCCGGTCCAGCTAATACACCATGTTTAGGGAGAATAGGATTCCCACGTGTTTGTTGATTTTCTTTGCAGGATAGATAAAAACGAAAATATCCCGTGTTAATTCTCCATTATTGAACAAACTTTTGTGTTAAGTTGTAAAACAAAAAAAAAACTATGTGAGATAAATGTTACTGATTTTTTAACCAGCTTAAAGTTTTCAAAGAAAAAAATGGCAATAAAACATTCACAACACTCGTACTTGGTAGTTTAGTTTACGTCATTATATCGAAGCATTTACTAAGCTTCAATAGACATTTTTACCAGTTATTATCTAATCAAAATAAAATGATTTTGTTATTTCAGATATCTCAAACGTAATCTATAAACAACTACACAAGCATTAAGTTACTGAATGAACTGAATTCAATATAAAGCTCAAAGATCAACCATTTCTCTCTCATACTGGTTGAAACAAGCCAGAAAGACTTATCATAATCATGTTACTGAACCGTGTTTAATAAAAACACGTGAATTGGTAGATTTTTTTTCGAACGAAACTAGATGAACAAAACTATCTTTCATGCAGTGAAAAAAATCGTTTTCAGTTGGAGCATATATATATATAGTCTTGAGGATTTGAGTTGTAAACGATTTTATTTCCAGTATTAACAGTGAATCGTGTGACTTATTGTATAAATCTGTACCACTGGAGATCATGTCCAGTAAACCGTCAAAAAAATTAGAAATGTATACACAAATTTCAGTTGATTGTTTTTAGAAATACAAGTAATTTGATTTTCCCCAATAAAAAAAAAGAATTTTATTAAAGATGAACATCTCTCTAAGATAAATACCATGTACGATTAACGTTTATAAATTTAAACAAATCTATTACATAACATATGCCTTTAGGAAAAATTGATAAAAAAATACACATAATTTCAGCCATATTCACTGTGAAACACTTTTGTAAGTATTTTAAAAACAACATGATGTTTTATATCAATTTTCGTCAATATTAGAACCAATAGTTTGGTTGTCGAGTATATAGAAGACATAATTTGTGTAAAATTATGTCTGAAATTATGCCAGCAAGTGAAATTGCAAATGATATCGATTTCGATTATTACCCTGAAGTCTAAACACATTTGTTGGACGAAACTTTGGAATTATTTTAATTCAGTCGATGTGATTAGTTCAAATATAATTTTACACTAATAAGGTATGATGTTTTGTAAATTTCTTTTAAAGCACTTACAATTTTTCGATTGTAAAACTACCATATCTAATGATGATAAACTAAGATGTTTGTGAAGGTGACCAGTTTCATAAAAATATACTTTATTGACTTATTCAGTTTGTGCGACACAAACTGATGAATTTTTGTCCAACGAAAATATTTCAGAATCCTTGTTCACCTCAGTGATTTTCTTTATGTTAAACATCGAGTTCCACGAGTGCTAATCATTCATAACAATCAAATTTTGTCGATTTTGGAATAAGTATTGAGAACAAATACAACAGACTATCTCATACAATCTCACTTTGAAGTTTTCCTTGAGTTAACTTCATTTTTAAAATATAAAGGTATAATCGTTCATTACATTTTGTGTGTCTAAGCATATAATTCTAATACTCAAGTCGTGTTTTTTTGTAAAGTCTGTATTAAGTAACCATTTTAATGTTAAATTATAGTGGTGAATCCCGGAAATACATCACTTGTTTCTCTCTATAATAAACTATTCCTAATCTAGAAACTCTTGCATTTCTATTTTTCGCTTGTTTTTTCGTTTCTAGTCTAACAAACAGTTTAATTTGTAATGTAATGGTATAGCGATAAACCTATAAATTCAGTAAAACAAATGTTGTTGCAATCCACTGTTATGCTTCACTACTGACAACATTTATATGATTCAAAGCGGATGACATTACTTTAGAAAAACAGAATGTGTATAACTAAAATACTTTGAAAATAAATTTGACTGAGAAGTTGAATCAATAGCAAGTTTCGCGTGAACATAATGGAACATGTTTATGGTCTAAAAACTGAAAACTGAATAATCATACCGTTGCTGCTCTAGTTTATGTATTCCAAACCCATCTGTGGGAATGATTAAACCTTTACTATTTACTAATATTCTCTAGTTCCAAATGAATTTTTGTGCTATAAATCTATCTTATTGAGTTGTTCGGTTTCAGGGTGATTATGGAAACAATTATAGAGCCTAGTAAATATTTGTGTTTTAATTGACACAAATGTGATTGATTAGACTCGAGATATCACACTGAAAGTAAAATACCAAGAGCATAGGTTGTTGACGTAGCGAATAATTGGATTTAATGTGTTATTTTGAATTTACCTTCAGAAAAATCAGTTCCCCAGAAGATATTAACTTTTTATTATGGTGATTTCATTGTCGTTCTGTATATCGTCAGCGATTATTCCATTTGAAAGCTCAGAGTGTGGTGTACGCTTCTTAAGTGGACAGAAATAAGCAGTATGTAGCAGGAATTGGAAGTGGAATGCTTAACAGCAGAATATTAAAATGAAGAGAAAAGGAAGGGGAACATAGAGAAAATGGAATATCAGCATGATTAAAAGAATTGTGGAGTATGTAAAGGACTATTTAAAGAAGATATGTAAATGATGTGTGCCATGTTCTTATGACTGAACAGACCAATGACGCATAGACCGTTCTGAGCAGTGCAGAGTCAATTCTGAGTTTTCAATGGTCCACCGAGATACTAGCTTCTCGCCTAACCCAACCAGTTTAGTCCGGAACACCAATATCAACCACTGTTATATAGATAATATATTCCAGATGTATTGAGTTTATATACAAACAAACCAGACCGCATCATACCATAAAATAGAAAATAAAAATTATACAAGATCAAGCCGAAAAGTGGCCATGATTTTGAGAGACTGATACTAATAAGTTGGTAATATCTTAGGAATGATAAATCGTATAATAATAGTCAATGGGTCAAATATAGGCTCATAATAAGAGGAATATGAATGTGCATATAGTATAGTTACTTAATGGTTATAGAACAAGGATATATATAATAACGGTCCATAAATAATTACTAGCGGTTACTATCCATTTATCCTCGTCCGGACCTAACGATATGTTTAATGCATGATTTTCATACTTTATAAAGACACCTGAGTTTCCATTCACTACAAGAAGACATAACCAAAAACATACATCTGAACTACAGATTTTAGACATAATGTGTTTTGATTATGAATCCAAACAAATAAAAATATTTGGTTTAAAGTGAGTAAACTGTACTTTAAAAGTCTCGGAACGGCAAATAATTGAATTTCATTTTTGTTATATGTTCCTTTAGATGTTCGTGTAAATAAAGTAGTTATTTCATATAGACATTTTACGAACATTAAAAATCTGTAAAAAATGAGTTGCATTGCCGTTTAAAACAAATTATAAACTTGTCATTCAAAAACTTGTGTTGCAGCAAATTGTCAGCTTTTCACTAAAATTATCAGTTGTTTTGGTTAGTATTGTCGACTGTGGAATAGATCTTACAACAACTGTCTATTGTCAAATGGAATAGTAAAATTACTGTTGGCATACCGAAGTCTGAATTCATTGAATTTCTTAAAGTAAATTATAGTAATCCTATTATATGGATTATTCTAATTATACTCATCCCGAAACTTGAGATTATTAAATTAAATGACACTTTGTGTTGTTATTGTGTTCTGTTGATCAATCGCATAACTTAAAGAAATACATACCCAGTACTGCTCAGTATTTTTTTATTTTTGAGTTGATGTCGCTTTATGTTGAATGTTTTGTTTCTAGTAGGTAAAAATGAAAATTCGTCTCAAATGATAAATATAAGGATAATGCTTTTCCTTAAGTCGTTTCATTTATCTAATATGAATACCCAAAGAAAAAGACATAACTTTTATTTGAAGAGTCATTTTCATTTCCCTATTCCACATTCACTGTATAATGTAAGTGTTTATTGTTCAAGGCATATTTTATGATTAATTTCTAATTACATTACTGTTTACCTATCTACAGCTAAATGTGAAGCATCTTGTTGGCTTGCAATAATTGGAACAATATGTTGCGTAACCTCATCATTTATTGGTGCATTGAGAATGAGATATTGCAATGTTAAGGAGACGAAAAAGTATAAAACAGCACAATTCATTAATTCAATAGCTGGATGTAAGTTACCTTTTGGTTTTCAGTTTTATATAATGTTATTATTATGTATTAACGGTTTTTATATTCGACATATTCTCATTATTGATAAAAGACTTGAATTTCATAAATAAAAAAATAGGCCAAAATTAATGTAGATGCAAAAATATCCTTCTATACAAATGTAACAGATCGAATCAGCAGGTAAAATTCTTGTACTCTGGTCTTATTTCGGCTGTAGTAAAACAACAATTATGATGTTGCTGATTATGATAAAGTACTAAAGTAAAATGGATAAACTACTAACTTTAGTGTTTAAGTCTAAGCATTGTTTATTAGGAACAGGAATAAAATATTTTCCATTTTATGAAATTTATCCACTAACTGTTTTTACGTAATGGTCTATGTGAATCGTGAAATCTTTATCGTCAACCAACAATCTTGAAAATACTATCAGTAGATTACAGTTTGTGGATATCTGGAAGATAATATTTATTAACTTACACTACGATGTTGATGATAAATAATATTAAAGTTAACTTGTTAAGATGATATCCATGACTCACATTATTATACTTTAAAATGACAGTGAGGTGAAAGGATGAAACTTTTGGGATGTGATAATTTTTATGATCCCCAGATAAAGAGTTCCAATACTCGACGCCATTTAATGATTGTCAACATAGTAGGGCCGATTCTTATCTTACTACGAGGACTTTAGTAATGTTGTGTTATAAAACTAATAGTTTAATAGTGAAAGATTCGCTGTTTTCTAAAGAAAATCATTGAAAAAGATCTCATAAAGGACTCATCATCAAAATTTCCACATAGCTGATTCCGTAAGCCCATTTTTTGAAGCTTGTACTAATGATGCTATCTAGAACGTTAATGTGAGCTTCATGATCAAACCATTCGGTCAAGAGAAATCATTACTTTTTAATATTAATGCTGTATACATGCTTACAGTAAGCCTGCATAAAAATTAATGCATTAATTTCAATTCTTTATCTTGAAGTCTAAAATAATAATGAAACACAATCGTTTAATCTATTAAAACCTCATTATCTTCCTTGAAACTTTATAACACCAGATTATAGGATAGAGGATAAACAATTAGAAACTGTTGGTTCAATGTTTATTTAATTTGTTGGCTAGATGTAGTGAAATCCAATACTTTTTGTCGGTCATATTAGTTACTAATAGCAAGCTTCTTTTTATTGTTTTATGTCATAATTAAATTAAGCTTTTCTGTCCAAACCACTGTTAAATTATATAAAATGTGGAGATCATCATACACAAAACACCTTTCCGCTATCCTCTTAATAAAACAGCATGTTTCAAAACGGTACACAATCATTAAGTTTGCAAGAATACTGTATCTATAGTGTAAAGAACAGTTTCGGGTATAGTACATTTCAAGTATAATAATGCAGAGTTGTGAGCTTTAAGGCAATGAACTTGACTTAACTAATTAAACTGGGAATAAAAACGTATATAATTGGATTTTTAAATTATTAAACCCTAAATGTCAAATATTTGGTGGTAAAACAATACATGATTTGGTTCTTAACAAAATCGTTTTATCTACGTAAATTTGATTAACAGTTATTAATGAAATCTAAGACGAACTCCTTAGCTGGAAATATAACCATTCCAACGTTGATACTCACGGAAAGACAGACTGATTAGTTGAAGTCCTTGATAACGACTATGAGAGAAAATGTAATAAGGTAATACAAATAATTCAAATTGTTAGTAATTTTAGCGATATTTAACCTTTGTATCATTTCAAAGTGTAAAGATTACGTGAGAAATACATCTAATTACACAACTATATTTATTCCAAAGTCTTAATTTTTTTTTGTTTGAAATTAGTTAAATGCTGTTTTTATTCTTTTTTTCAGTTATTAGTTTGTTAAGTTCCGTGTCTGTTTGGGCAGATTTTCTTTGTCATCTTCCATATGAACTAAGTACAACTTATCAATTGAATAAATTAACTTTTAATCAACATAAACAACCAATTAAGAACAGGAAAATATTTGTACCTCAAACTGACAACAATCAAACTAATATATCAACATTTTCTTCAATGTTATACCTTTCTCGTAATTATTCTTTATCTAATTGGATAAAATTTAAAAAGGATTTAAATCATCTTGAACATTTACATTATAATGGAAATTATTTATTTGGTTGGGCATATTGGTTTTGTGTAGTATCAGTTATATTTTTATTTTTAAGTAATTTGATTTATTTAATGAGAAAAGATTGTGAAGATGAAAGACCAGTTGAAATTGTTTGAAAGAAAAACAAAACTTTTTTTGTTTTCACTCGACAACAAAAACTCTAAAATGTTATCAACTAATGAATCACTATTGAATGTAATAGTTAAATGTGTTATTTAATCTCAAATACAAAACAATGAAGTAAATGTGTTAAGTCTTGCTGATCGGACGCTATATTTGTTCCTAAGCTATTCTGATAACCCGCACGCTAGAACTATACAGCGACCTGAACACCAGAAAGAAGACGCAAAGTATGAGAGAAACACTTTACTCCAAGGTTAGTTTTTGTACAAAAAACATGGGTATTTATGGATTGTAACGTTTGTTAAATCAGTATCATATTTCGGCCAATCCGTTAACGATATATTATGCTACTGACCAATAGTAGCACGCTACGTTGTTATTCTAAAATGCTTCATCATGCTCTGACTGGCTAGGACTCTTCGGCTCCTTTTGAGCCTCTGGAGGCTCCGTTGAAGTTCTCCGAAAGCCGACTCAACAAAATGATAATAAATAGGAAATAATATTTCACTTCAGAGTTTGTTTTCGCTCTTGGTAATCATAATTTCGGTTCACATGAATTAGGTAAAGAATATAGAAATAAAATTTTAAAAGTTGAGATCATGAGTCAATTGAAACTAGACCACTATGGACAACCTGGAAGCATTGGAGGACCCTTTCGTCCTACCGTGGGACTCCTCAGCAGCGGATCGTGGATGCGCATTGCTGAATAGACTCATAGTAGGACGAAATGGCCGTCTAATGCTTTTGGGTTGTCCATAGTGGTCTGGCTTCAATTGACAAATGATATCAACTATTAAAATTACTATAATATCCACAAAAACCCTTTTTGATGTAAATAAAAGTTTTTTTTCTTTTTTAACGACTTGAAAACATTAAATATTATTTAAGTAGATAGTTAATTTAGAAATAAATCATCATACATGTGTGCGAAATTACTTTTTATATAAAATATTTCAACTGTATAGGTAATCGAAATTCACTTGGTGTTGTTTACTTGTATTTTCCAATTGTTGCTTATAAAACTTGTGAATTAAGATAATATGTAGGCAGACAGAATGCACATATGCCAATAAAAGACTGATCAATTGCAGTCCTAAATAACAATGGGAAGATACAAATAATCGGCATCAAGTGAATTTAAAACTTCACCCCATTGCACAAGCTGGTGGGCATCAGGACTCAGTAGCTAAGTGATAACGGGATGGCGTTTGTACCGGGTACGAGTCCCAGAGTGAACATCAACTCTGAGATGCAATTGCTTCCGGTTGACGAGTTTTAAATGGGACGAAACGCGCGTCCTGAATTTCATTGCTATCCACCATCCATCTTTTCTTGTATAGTCAATCGTTTGTGGAGAACATTGAAGATAATGAACGTGACTTTAGAAAAGTATTATATCCATAACGAACCAGATACGATATAAAGTTAAACAGTTCCTAATCGAGTTTATCAGCATTTAATTGAAGCAAAAAAGGGTTAAGAAAAGTATGTCTGATTTCGATATTCTTCATTTAACGGTAAGCATCATTTCTTTTCCATCTCAAAACTATTCACAGAAATGCTGATGATCAGCATACATTGATAAGAAGGAAAGAATTTGAGAATAGTTTGACATTTACATCTGTCCAGGTGCAAAACTTCACCATGTTGTTTCAAACCAATAGGTATTCTGTAGATGATAAGCCTCGACTAAGAGAGTTATTCTGTATAACACACAAATTCAGAAAGATTTTCAAGTAACAACCAAACACTCGGCTAATTAAGAACAATAAAATTAATCATTCAATAATCTAATGACTTTAACATAGGTGTGAATGTATATTTTGACTTCAGATTAGTTTATGATTACTGAAAAAGTAATGAAACGTAGAGTTTCAATCATAACTTGATTTTCATCCTTATGAAACAAGATCAGAATGTAATAGAAATGAAAACCGTTCTAAAATGCCTTTGAATATGTGAGATACATAAATTGATGCAGTAGTATTCAGGAATTTCATGAAAACATATTGAGAATACATTACAACTGCCATAAAAAGAATAAAGTTTCTCTCATTTATTATGACAATCTAATCAAAGTGTCACTACATTAATCTGTGAATAAGGTCACATTTTAGTGGCTTCTCGTATAAAATAATAAGATTCCGAATTAAAAGATTATTCAGTTGTTCAAGACCTTCTATCAATAAGTCAACTTATTAAACCCTTAATGGCATTATCAATATTATCAGAATGTGTTTTGTGGAGATTTTTAGAAATTTTCACAGATTGAACTCATGAGTCAGTTGAAGCTAGACCACCATTGAAAACCTGGAAGCACTGGACGGCCGTTTCGTCCTAGTATGGGACTCCTCAGCAGTGCGCATCCACGACCCCGCACCACCCGGGGCTCGAACCCAGGACCTACTGGCTTCGCGCGCGAGCACTTAACCATTAGACCACTGAGCCGGCATCCAACGGTGCTTCCAGGTTTTCAATGGTGGTCTAGCTTCAACTGACTCATGAGTTCAATCTGTGAAAATTATCAATATTGACAGACACATTTAGTTCTGTTGACCACATCTTGTTTACAAATGAGAAAACGTCGAAATGATTAGATAACTAAGAACCTCTTGTTCTCATCCTCTGTTCCCTAAATATGCTTGGAATACTTCCGATAATGTCTGATTTCTGTTTAGTGATGAAATTTCGGAGTACGTTTTGTTATATTTAACTTTCATCTCTATTATTATAATCTAAATTTCAGTATCATTCAATAATCACTTTTGATTAAACATTTCATATAATACACCAGCTTTCTACTCATCAGGTATATATCCGTTCGCGGAATACAGGGGCAACAAATCAAATCGATCTTTATTAACTCACATATTTCTTAATAATCAGAGTTTGATAAGGAAACAGTCAAAAATAATTTACATAATGAGCAAATTATGTTGTAAATAATCAACTTATTTTAAGCATTTATTGATGAAGTGAATGAACTTTGATATAGGTGAAGTTTTTGCCTATAAAATGTAAATCAATAGAATTAGATGTTAATTCAGGATACATAGATCTTGATGAACTTGTAACAATCCTCTCTCAACTTATTATTTTTCTATGGCATATAAAATGGTTTAAGTTAACCTTATCATGTTTTCTCTGTCTACTCACTGTGGCTTAGACTTTTGATTCATCGTGTATATACGTGTCAAAGTGACTGAATTCATGTCTGTATTTAATTTTTAACTGTACCCTCATTGGTTGCAAACACGATTAGTCAATAATTTTATTCATTCATCAATTTCCACTGATACTAGAAAAAACATGTTCATACACATACATTCTTTCTCTTCTCTCATTTACCACTGTGCTCGTTTGATCCAACTGATTATTAATAAACGCCTCAACAAATCTCCTATTCTTACTTCTGAATATTCTCAAGGAAATTAACGACGACACCTAGCCAGAGGATAAATACTTGGTTAAATGGGTTGGTAAAATTTGTGGTCAATCAAGGGAACTAACCTTAACAAACTAGTGACCCCGATGTGAAAACTTCAGGGATATATCAATGAGCTATGTATCAGTAGAAATTTAAAAAGATCTGTAATATAACGTCCTTACTATAAATGCTGAAAATATCACAGGAGCATATTAGACTTATTATTCTCAAAGCGGCAGGTCACGACGAGAAAGATGAGTTAAAATTATTGGATTAAGGTTACTGTGAGGTTTTCGTAGCTTACCTGGATTTACTCAAAATTTCGTAACTTCAGCTGAATGTTTTGAACAGTTTATTGAATTTATAGGCAACCATACTTGACAAACAGAAGAAATATAGTCTCACTCTAGCTAATTTTACACAGTTAGTGATCGAATTTCGTCATATTTTCTACGATATTATGGTACATAGATCCATACCGTATAGATAAGAGCTAAAATTATGTCAAGTATCTATGACTGAAAGTCAAATATGCCCAATGCTTTGACAACTACGATCCAGAGTTGTTTATGCTAAATCTTATTTTTGTAGATCACAGTGGATGCAACTAATTGTCCACCTAAAAACAACTTTATGTTAATTTCTTGAGATGTTTTTCCTTATGCTCGCCGATTTTGTCGACTGATTACTGAACGTTAAAGATACATTCAATCCTTTATTGAGACGTTTGTTTGCTTAGCGTAGTGAAAAAAACGATAAGAAAATCAAATATGTTTAGATACTCTCAGATAATGAACAGAGTTTATTAGGCTATAATAGTCAATAGTGTTACTAATTTCATTGAGATTTTTTCTGACTATCAAATGCCACATATGGTATATGACATTATAGAGAACACTTATTACTTTATTCAAGCAACGAGGATAATTAGATATTGAATGTTAGGAAACACCAGTTGTTTAATAGATAACAATTAGAATTAAAGATCAGTATCTTTTCGGCATTTTTTGGATGAAGTTCAGTTTAACGATTCTTCTGCTTGTAATGTTTTTATCTCTTATTCATAATGTTATTTATGTTCGTTAAATTCCATATGAAAATACAATACACACTAAGCAGAAACTGACGTTAAATATTGTTTACGAGGATACGAATACAGGAACACTTCAGTAATAAACATAATAATTTGATTGAAAAGTAGCTAGATTAGAAAGAATATAAGACCCTTACTCGGGTAATAAATTCTTCTTTCAGGATTCAGAAATGGATAATATCGTCTGTATGACACTAATTTTTTTCAATGATAGGAACCATTAATTAGTTATGAGAGCAGTCTTTATCAGAAACAAACTTGACTAATTCTATACAATCTGATCTCAGATACTGTGACTCATCAGCTTACACATCAAAATTACACATAGAATTACATCACTCCTAGTAAGTGAAATATCGTTCATTCACTTTATTGAACAAAATCAAACGAACTTCGTTTAGTTATTGCAACATAGCTTTAATTCCCTGATTTTGAGCAGTAGCGTCTCGCGTAAGATGATTACGAAGAGAAATATCAGTTTTCATATAATACGAATAAAAAGAGGTTGTGAATGAGGAAATTTTTGGCTACACACCGAAACTATGGACAAAATTGTGAATCGTTAAGTGATAATTTAGATGCTTATTAGCGAAAGGATTTAGCGTTATAGAATTCTATAACTCTACATTGAAATCAGGAAAAACTTGACTTCAAATTAACTTGGGTTATCTCTTAAATAGTGAATTTAGATTTAGTAAACCACTAAAATAAGTGTAATTTAATGAAAGCTGAA